TCAAAATGGAATTGATAGAAACTGCAAAACACAGCGTTTACAGCATACCTCTAACAGAGATTGGGGTTCTCGAAGAGAAGGCCGAAATCTCAATGCACGCAATGGCTGGAACGAAAGGACCGAGGACGATGCGGCTACCAGCATGTGTCAAGAACCGCCATGTAGTTGTGCTAGTGGACAAGGATCGTCACACAACTTCATCAACGCCGATCTATCTCAAAAGTTAAAGCTGCCAACGAAGAGGGTCGAACCATTTGAAGTCCGAGTAGCCAATGGAGAATGGCTAACCAATGGAGAACGGCTAACGTGCTCGGAGGCTTATTGTTCGGTACCGATCAAATTTCCAGGAGTCACCATCAAAGCCGATCTCTATGCGCTACCCTTGGTTGGACCCGACGTTGTGCTAGGAGTGAAGTGGCTCGAGGGATTAGGCAAAGTGACCACCAACTACCGGACGGGGGTCATGGAATTCAACTCTGGAGAGCATCGGGTCACGTTAAAGGCAAGCAAGGACGGTGGGACCAAGGAGGTTGGTCTCAAGAGTATAGAACAAGTTTGGCATATGGGCGGCCAGATCTTCACCGTCGAGAAGGCAAGCGCACATGCGGGCATCGTTGAGCAGGTCAAGTACAAGGATCCCCCTCTGTTCGACGAATACTTCAGAGAGGTCGAGCAAGTCTCGACGGATTATGATGGCCCACCTATCATCGACGTATACCCCGAAGATGAACTCATGGACGTCGAAGTAATTGAAGAAGCCGAGGTTGAGGAAACTAAGTCCGAAGGCAAGGTTCAAGAGGTTTGGACATCGAGCAACAACAATCTGAGATACGTGAGTTGGTTAGAGCAACCGACCGCGTACTAAGCAAGTCCGACAAAGAAGAAGGCAGATCGGTGAAAAGTGTAAGGAGCCTATCTTTCCGTTTGAATTCTCGAAATATTTTAAGGATGTAAGGCCCATCGAGTACGTGAATGAGTCAACGGATAATGAAGGACCGCCTATTTTCGATGTATACCCCGATGAGCAATTTGTCGAGGTTGAAGGAATTTTGGTCGAGTCCAAGGAAGCCTAAGTGGTCGAAGACAAGAAGGAGATTTGGGTCGTGATCGAAAAAGACCACAGTAAGGAGAGGCATGAGGTGAACAAGGTGAGGAC